AATGTTTTTTTATTTACCATATTTTATCAATTATTAAACATTTTTTTACCCTGTTTAGATTTAGTAATCTATGTAGATACATGTTATGGAAGGCCTTTATAATTATTTATGTCATATAGTTAGTCTAGAATTAAATTTGAATCAATATAAAAGGATCAATAATTTTTATTTTGTAGGAGATGAAATTGATATTTATAAGTTTTAAAAATTTGGTCAAACCTATATAGTAGATCGACATATGTATTAATTTGTATATGACATAAAGAACACACAATAACAACATGTGAGTAAGATAGTCGTAGAACTTGAATTTCTTGTTTAAGTTTGAAGTTATATGTCGAATGCAATCCACTCATTAATTTGTGTTCCACTTAAATTTTTCACGTCATTCTCTTCAACTATATTAATGGGTCTTCTGAGCGAGATTCATTAAAACCTTAAGGTCAGTTATGAGTATTTCTTCCTTATATATTGTTTAACTTTCTCATTCTTACTCAACATGAGACTTAGACTCACACTTAGATTTTTCAATAATATTCTCCTCAAGTGTGAGACATGCTTACCTAATCCATCGTCACAAAGACTTTCGATATAAGGATCACTCTTAAATTATCGGTCACCAGACAAATTATCGGCTCTGATACCACTGTTGGGTCTTTTAAGGGAAGATTAACTGGGGAGAGACAACACTAATGAAACATGAACCCAACTCACATAAGGGATTAACACTACCTTCAATAAAAAATCTTAAGGTATTAGGTTATGAGTCTTTCTTTTTTATATGTTATTTAACTTTCTTATTCTTACTCAATATGAGACTTAGACTCACTTGAATTTTTCAACATGGACAATTGTGCTAAGAAGAGTTTTTTTAACAACTTGAGATCATTTGGAAAGATGGTCGTGTGACTCTTCCTAGTTGCCAAAAGTCATAGCAATTGATTTCTATTTCTTATATAAGTTTGTCTATAACTAATTGATTAACTATGACAACTTTTAGTTTCTGCAATAAAATTTTTTATAGAAATATAAAAATATTTTTTTACCAATTCATAAATAATAATAATATGAACAATTTTATTTGAATCTAAATTTTGATGATCAATAGATAACATAAGTTAACAAACATGTGTGATTTGCTTCATTTTTTTTTCTTTTATTGTTATTGAATTTTACAAAGTGAAGCTCTAAGTCTCCATTGACACTCATTCTCATAATGGATAATGTATTTAAACTAAAGAATATTTATAATCTTACTCAATATAAAAATATTTAATTATACTTATTGTTTCCTTTCATGGGAAACCCATTCATTTTGAAATAATTGCACTTGAATTAAAATATTGTATACACTTCTAATGGACTGAGAATTCATAGTATCATATTTTTCATCATCATGTACATAATCATCTTCTTCATCAAAATCATGAATAATATCTCATATAATTAATTTTTGTTCATTTGATATTAAACTAGAACCAACATAAAATCTATCCATATTAGAATGAATTTTTACATAATATTTTTCCAAACTTTTAAATAAGATAAGGTAAAAGTTTGAGTTATACCCATAGATCACAAAAGAACATATTTATATAAAAGTTACCTTATTACCTTCTATTGTTTAACAAGACTGAGTGCTTTATACTAGTCTTGAGTCTTACTTCCAATTTCAATCATACCATGTAGAGCCCGTATATAAGCTTGCAACTTTTGTTCTTTTTTTAATTTTCAATCTCTTCTTAGGTTGCTATGTAATCGTTATTTTGTACATATTGTAGATATTTTTACTATATTATTGTTATTTTTCTATGTTGTCGGTATATTCACATATTATTTTGTATTTTTAATATATTGTTAGTATTTTTCTTTTACATACAAAGTTCTGGATAAATTTTATTTAGATATGAATTTACTTTATAACATCGATATATTAATTTTTTACACACTATTATTTATATATATATATAATTGTTATTTATATATAAATGATTTATTATATATTTATTTACTGTATTTATATATAATTTTATATATTAATTACGGTAAATATAACTATTATTTGTATATATATTATTTATTTAGTACATAGAATTACTGTATATATGATATTGTTTATATACTTACTATATTATTTTATTATATTTACTTAATATGTAATTATTTATTATATTTACTACAAATAATATTATTTATTATATTTACTACTTATAATATTATTTATTATATAATTATTTGGAATTATTTATTGTATGTATAATTATTATTTATTATATAATTATTTAGTATATTATTATGTTATTATTTGTGATTATTACTGCTCAAAAATCTCCCTAGCTATGATTCGTGATAAGGAACCTGTCTCTCCACTAACTTTAGTGTTTTTTTTTTTTTTAGTTATTCACCTTGAATCATGATATTTCTAATTAATGTTGGATGTTTTGATTATTATTCATGAAATTCTTGATAACAAACATGATTTTATGAGAGATTTTCGGAATTGCACCTTAAGATAGAAACTCACCATAAGATTGATCTCTTAAGTTTGTCAACTGATGAGATGAATTATTTGGACACCGTACAATGATGTTAAAATTGACCCTAATAATGTTATCATAATAGATATAAGATCGAGACACTCTCGTTCCTATATTGGTGTCCACCATGAGGTCAAGAGAAGAGTCTCACTCTATTCATATATATATATATATATATATATATATATATATATATATATATATATATATATATATATATATACATATATATATATATATATATATATATATATATATCCCTCGATCTTCGATTGAAGAGCTATGTTCCGGTATGTTCATGAGTCCACATCGCTTAAGAATTGAGACCAAGGGTAATTTATATACTCCCTCCTCTCTTAATCCACCAAAACACATTTTAAGGATAAAATTGTGACAGACTAAAGTTCTAAATAGACAATACCTCGAATATAGGAATTAACACTAATGAAATTATAATAGTAGAGACGAGTATGAGACACTCTTATTCTTAGACGAAACATGTTCTGATACACTTATATATATCCCTTACTCCATAATTGAGGAACTATGTTCTGATACACTTACGAGTCTTATATCACTTAAAAGTCGAGGGTAATTTATATATATCTTTTTTCTTAATTCTCATAATAATGAACATAAAATAAAACTGAGATTATCTTGTTTTTAGACGAAACAATTATATATTAATTATTATATATAATAATTAGTAAATATAATATTTTGTTGCTAGTTTATATATATATATATATATATATATATATATATATTATTTTTTTTTTTTTGTTTACAAAAATGGTAGTCAACCACCATCTTTTTATAACACATATTTTTATTACATTTGTATGACATGAATATTTTAGACCTTTTTGTTGAAAATTTTAAATATTAATGTCAATCATAATTTGATAACGACTTTAGTAGAATTGAGGATAAAAAAACTTACTTTGTACCTCATCCAACAACTTATTCTTCCAATTGATGGAGAACCTATTACTAGTTATGGTGGTGGTGATTTAATAAGTTTCTGTGAAACTTTGTTAGAGTTATATCTATCTTAAAAGTGACCAAAGAAAATCGAATAAACTTTCTTGATTAAATAAAAACTTATGATGACAAATAATGACAAATGATGAAGTTATTACTTAACAGGTTAAAGCGCACGTTTTATGCATCATAAAAAATTTATTAACGAACTTCTAAAATTCAATTTATCTTTTATTATTTAATGACTTAATTGTTGTACTCAATTACAATTATCGAATTTTGGACCATAGAGTTTAACCTCATCAAGAAAATATTGGAGTTTTCTCTCACTAACTACAATCATCAAATGTTTTCACTTACCCGGTTGTCTTCATGGTTCATTATTTAACGACCCATCTATTTAATGAAGTAGATTATTACCTGCATATTTAACAAAACTAATTTGATCAGTTGTTCATCGCAACATAATGAAATACTTACATGCATCATAATTTCTTATTACCTTGAAACAGTGAGATGATGGAACACACAGTCTGGATAAACGTGAGCAAAAGTAGCACAATTGCTGTAGTTGTAGATGCTATTTTCCAAGGAGTGTTGAAGTAGTCGCGTACGAAGATAGCCTTGTACTTGTTGTACTTGTCCACACTTAAAGGCGAGTCAGTCAACGGATTATACTGCCGATAAATGGAAAAAATAAATAAATCAATTTTTCGTTTCATAAAATCAATACAAGTTTAGTTAAAGTACCTAAAGTATATTAGTAATTTGGCCTAAATCTGATTTGAATATAATTTTCTTTCTTAATTTAAGAAAATTTATGCTTATAAAATCAAATAATAACAATACGAAATATATATTTTAGTTTTCGAAGAATATTAAAAACTAAAAATAATTACATAATAAAAACCCTATGTTTAAATACTTAATAAAACTTTTATTTTCTTATAAAAAGAATATGTCAGCGTGTGAATCCGCGTGAGGTTGGACAAATCAGGTCGTCCAACCAAAGCCATTTTATACAACCTGATCCAAATTCACGTCAATGACCCAATCAAAACTGTCATTCCTATTAGACTTTTCGATTCCCTTTAGATTTTTAAATATAAATTACTGAAAATTTTAGAATTAGAAAGGGATGGATATCAATATGTTTCCAAGCTTTACATTTTTTTTTTAATTTACATTTAGCATTTAACACAAGTGTTCAGATTAATTTGACTGACGGACTACACTGATAATCTTCCATAGACTAACTTATTAGCATCTCTCATCAAATATTTCTGATATTGATGTAAAAATATTTTTTTACGAGAAATGATTTCCTTAAATTAGAACTATAGCTCCCCCTCTCAACACTACAATCATTAAATTCATTCTAACCATATCCAAAATTAACCTAGATACAAGCATTACATGCCTGTACACGAATGTAACCAAGAATTCTGCTAATGATTGCAAATTATCAATGCTCAAAAATTAGCTGTTATATTTATCCTTCTTTCCCCTCTCTCTCCTTCCTTTCCTCACCAAGACCTCCGAGACATCACCCCTTGTGTTTGGTTTAAGGGAGGGGGGTAATAATGAGACGAAGATACTTCCTATATCCCCTGTTGGCATTCCCTATACTCAAGAGATGTATTTTAGAATAGAGGAATACTGTAGTTTCACAATTCTTACTTTAAAAGAATAATAGTAAATTACTTATGAAAAATGATACTTTGACAACCCAAATTCATACAACTCCTATAAATTTTAATATTATAATAATAGTTTTACTTTATTTTTATTTTTATTAAATCAATCTATAGAATATTATATTAATAAAAGTGAGTTATTTAAAGGGTTGTATGATTTCTGGTTGTCAAAATATCACCAGTCATTACTTATTTTCCTTTTCTTTCCCTTCCCTTTCAAAACTAACAAGGAGTCCCTCTTCATACTCTCCTCCCCAACAAAGATCAAACTTGTGCTACAAAAAAATAATTTGCAACAAATGTCAAGGTATATTCCTTGCAATTCCACTGAGTCAGGGAAGATCAATCACATTCATCATCGTACATGATCCCCAACATACTCTTGTTGAACTTCGTGAGAAGAGAAAATTGGAAAACGAATTGATAGCTGCAGAAGCAGATGACACGTGGAAGATGCATTAATGAGGCACGAACTCGTTAGTAAGTGCTGGAATGATAGCATTATCATTGGTAGATACTCAAACTAATTATTAAGAGATATGTGCCAAAGGGCACTGGAGCTTTCGTCCAAAATATCCAGTGCCAGAAGATGAAATGAAACAACTCTTAATAAGAACAAGATAAAATTACAAAGTAGCAATAACCAGACCAGCGCCAATGTCCCTCGTGCAGCATATGAAAAAAAAAAAACACGATGAGCCGCAAAAAAATATCTTCCATACAAGACTACATAATCTCAAATAACACTAACATATATCCCGATGTCAGCAGTAATTGATCATTAATCTTAGAGGGACCAAATAATATATTATTAATAAATATAAAAAAAAAATAATATAAAATGATGAAAAGATAAAATTGTAGATATATACTTAAATATATTAAATTATTATTAAGTTTGAGGGAAACAAAATCATAAATTATATGAAAGTTACAAAACTGAGTGAGGAATGACTGAAAGAATAAAATTGTAAATATACAAATAAATATATTAATATTCATTATGTATGGGAAGGCCAAAATCATAAATTACATGAAAATTACAAAACTTTAAGGGGGTCACGGTCCCCCTCAACTCCCAAGAAGATCCGTCACTGAATGTCTGATGGCTTCTCACTATTCAAAACTATGGGAGAGAGCCATTGTATGGGAGGTATACCAGAATCATCAATATCTAAAAGAATTTAGTATAAAAAGGAGTATGATTTGTACAGGTATGCTGGGGATTGGAAGTCATTAGAAATTAATTATTTTGTATTTTGTAATTATATTTTGTATGGGGATTGATATTTTGTAAATCAATTAGCAATTAATTATATTTGTAAAGATGTGATTCCTAACACGCCTATCTCATATCCATGGATATTTGTAACTCAATTGCACATATTCAAACCTCTTGCCTCAGTTGTTGAAGAAAACATGAATGATCATCCTTCATTGAATCTCAAAACTCAACCAAGCTCATTCTAATTTGAGGCAAAATGCAGAGACGAAATTAAGCTTCTGAATCAGTATGAAAGACTTTCTAACAGTGGCAACAGTTGGGTAAGGTTAGGTTGAAAAGATCACTTTAACAATAATAGTTATTGTTGAATTTTGTTTCTGAATTGACACAATCAAAACGAAGCATCTAGTGGTATTCATGCCACAACTTTCAAATGGAAATGGAAAGTGACTAATGATGTTTCAAGCCTCAACTTAGAATATATTCATGTTTATCTTCATGCCTCTTTTTTCTCCCCTACTCCCATCATAATCAGAACAGTGCAATATCATGTTCTTATATGCAGTTGCTTGAGTAAAAAATGGTCAGAAAACAACTATTTCGATACTGAATCAAAAATGGGTATCTCATTCGTCATCCAGAGCTTGAACCATTGCACCTTAGACAGTCTTTCTCTTTGAAGAAAATCATTTTGTGTAGGAAAGCTGATTCAAAAATTTTGATTTACAGATCTCCATCCAGATATCATTAGTGCACTTTTGGACTGATTATGAGAATGTCTTGCAGAAATTGCATTTCTTTTACTGATTACACCTTGCACACAAATAAATAGTAACTAGAGACAGCTTATCAAAATGTAGAAACCTACAAGTTGATTTCTGTTCTAGCTTTGATAAAATTAAAACCAAGCCCTGCTCTTCTCATGAGTTAGTAGCTTACAAACAAACTCAATCACCGAAAAATTGGTGCATATCAAAACACTGAAGACTAAAGTGTGTAAACTAATTGAGCACTGGCTTACCAACAAATGGGGAGAGAATATGTGGAAAATTTCACTGCACTCAAGAAAAAGGAATATATGGAACTCACCTATCCAGCAAATACACATTTTATCTTCTATGTTAAATGAAGCTAACTCGGGCAAATAAGCAACCTAACATATGAGAAGTTGGATATCATCACCTACTAACACAAATTCCACTCTCAACTGAATCCAACCACAAAGTGATTACATCTGTAACACCAACACTAAGGCTTTATAAATAGCCTGGAACCACAGCTTCAGTCCTAACATTAAGGTTTTTTGGAATCTGCATGACCGCATTGAGACCACAGTTGCAATGGAATCAGCTACATTTGTTTGCAATTTTCCACAATATAAAAAATTGTATCGAAACTACAACCACAAATTAAAACCTTGCCCAGGACAAATGATTAAAAAATTTAAAATTGAAAAAGCACATTAGCTAGGTAATCAGCCAAGACAGTAAACCATTAAAATGCAAAATAAGACCATTAAAGCTCTTGCAAAGCAAAGATAGACCCCGCCAAAGACAAATTGAACATGTAAATCTCATCATTGATTTCACTTAAACCAGCAAAGTCTAACAAAACTTATTTCATCATCTCACACGCATCTGCTTCTCAAGCAGTACCTATCTCGATCCAGAGAAAGTTTTCCGGCTCCTCCTGGTGCGTGCATTCGTATGAGTCCTCTGTCCGCGGCAGGGTAAGTTATCCACATGCCTGATCCCTCGGTAGCACTGAATGCCCACCAACCTTACCACATCTCTCTCAACGCACTTTTTCTGAAACACACATGCACGTAACAAAACAAACAAGCCTATTTAGATAAAAAATATTCTCCTTAAACACTTATAAACGTAGAAAATAAGCAGGTAAAAATAAAATAAACCTATTTCATAAGTTAAAATCAAATTAATACACTTCAAATTTATAGAACCTCTTTTATCCGACTTCTCTAAAAACTAAAATACATAAGTTGATTTTAACCGATGAAAGAAGTTTGATTCATTTTGCTTTGAGTATATTATGCTGACACCCTAAACTTTTGTCGAATTTCTCCTGCCAACCCTCCGTTTTTCATCCCTAACTCTCCTTAATAATCTGAAAAACATAATACTGACACCCTAATACAACACTTACTCGTTACACTAATCTTCCTTAGTTGTGTAAAAAAGAAAACAACCATTACAACGTGTACCCCTGTACCCTGTAAAGGAGGTTGTAAACAAGGCTGCTGAATACGATAGAGAATACGACTTTTGCGCAATCTTAAGAAACCAATGTGTGTAATACTGATTTTCATTTTTATTATTATTATTATTATCATCTCCAAAACAGCACAGAGAAATTTATGGAAAAAGGAGTTTAAAAGGTGGGAAGAAAGTACCAAATCGTTTCCGATTAAGTACTTGGAGAGCAACTCCCGAATGGAATAGAGTTCCCTCTTGCTGAGGTCCTTGACGAATTTGTTCTCGACGCCGAGCTCGCATACGATGTGGTGCGCTTTCGAGCGCCCTATTCCGTGCAGGTGCTGGAGAGCGTACTCCAGACGCTTGTTGTCGGGGATCTCGCCTCCCATACCGCCTCCGATGTTGATATTCTGCACGCGCACACCTCTAAACTGGAAAACGGAAGAGAAAATAACAACGTGAAGCGCTAGAATGTTCGAGAAAGCCCTGGGCGAAAGCGAATAGAGCCGAAGGAGAATTTACCGATAGGTTTTGGCGGAGGCGCAGAGCGACGTCGGAGAAAATTCGTGCGGCGCCGAACATGGTGGAATTTGAGGATTTGAAGATGCGACTAAGGAGAGAGAGAGAGTGACGCACTATGTAGGTTCTGCAATTCGATGTTTGTTTTTTCAGTGTGGTTACGCTGCTTGGAGTGGTAGATGATAAGGATGAACAAAAAGTTGAGATTATTTTTTCTCAAGAATTTATTATTATTATTATTATTTTAATGTTACTGAAATTATATATAAGGAGACTCTTCTAAATGTGATTAGAGATAATAATAATAAAAAAAATACTTTTATAATTTTGGTGTGATTTAAGAAAAAAAAATTATATCTTTTCTTTATTTGTTTCAATCAGTTTCTCTCTATTTTTTAATATAAAATAATAAAAAAAAAATTTCTTTATTTTCTTAATTACATATTTCTTTAAATTTTCTCTTACTTGGACTTTATCTCCTGTTTATTTATTTCTAATTATTTATAATTTCATATAAATATTTATATATATATATATATATTAAGTTATTTTTCATTAAAAAATATTTATTATTATTATTATTATTATTATTATTATTATTATTATTATTATTATTATTATGTAAGTGTTAGAATATTTTATTGATCAAAATTTATTAAAAATATAAAATCATGGGAGAGTTGTTAATAAGTAGTACAAAATTTCAAAGTTTCTCTTTTTTAATAAATATCAACCAATGAAAAAAAGTAGTTAAAAATGTGCTTTTAACATTTTTCTATATAACATATTCATAGTTTAAAAATATAAATTATGAATTAGTTTTTATTGATTTTAAATCTTGTTTTTCTTAAATCAATTGCTCTTGTTTTTTAATGGTATTCTTTCGTCTTAAATTTTAATTATTCGTCACATAATTCATTGTTACTATAAAACAAAAGTCTCAATTTATATTATATTATAAAAATTAACAAAATTATGAAATATTTAATCAAACTAGTATAATTATTATGAATTATTACATCATAAATAACTACTCAAATGTTAAGTTTTATCAGTTTAACTATCAAAATTAACTTTATATTATTTTGATTATATGTGTCAAATTATGAATAAAAAAACTCATCAAATTGACAGAACAATACTTCCATGCTTGGTAGGTAGTGTGAGACCAAAGAAATTTTTTATTAATATGTTGGAAATTATTGTTCAAATAGGAGGGAATTGGTGAAAACTAATTTGCTTTACCATATGTTAATCATGAATTAAGCTAGAAATATAATAGATGTTGATAGTAAATATCATTAATTATATGATATTTGTTTTTAAATAATTAAAATTTCAAATTTTTTTTTAAATAAAGATAACAAAATGAATTATTCCACCCTAAACCTAAAACGTATTGATCATTGATAACGAATTACAAATTCTATTTCACTTTAAATAAGTAAATAAATATATATATATATATTAAAAAATATATAATTATATAGACATTTTTTAAATTTTTATTTATTAAATAAATTAAGAAAAATAATATATTTATATAATAAAATATTTAACTATAATTAATAATTTAAATTTAATTAATTAATATTTATAATTTAATTATAATATTAAAATATATATTTATATATTCTAATAACATAATAAAAATAAAAAAATTAATTATAATTATTTTTTATTTTAATATATAAATATTTTTTTAAAATAAATTAGTTCATCTATTCTTAATCTATTATATTGAAACAAAACGGAACAAAATAGACTCACATAGCATGTTGTTGATCAATAACCACTAACCAGAAAAGTCTCATCAATAATATGGCTTAGAGAATTATCATCTCAGAATTTATAAAGTCACGCGTACTAAAAAAGTTTAGACTATTAGTATGGCCGATTTGATTCAACAAAGCCTTTGAGATTGTAAATCATGAAATATAAATGCTACTTTTATATAATATAAAATATATATTAATATAATAATAAAATAATAACAAAATATATCTCAAAATACACAAAAATATACGTTATTTTATATTAAAAAAAATTATATCATGAATAAATTTTAAGTTATTAATATAAAGTTAAGTTCCTTTCATTATTTAGGTTTTAGATTTAAAACCTAATCAATAAAACACTGGTGATTTTTGTAGTCTCAGCTTAAAAAAAATAAATTAAAAGACTCTTCTTCGATAGTTTTGAAGACAAAAATGTTATATTTTTTATGTGACGAGAATATCAAATACAATAATATGTTGAATGGTGATATTTTGTAATTCTTCAAATAATTTATTTTTATTAATATAATTTATAGAATAATTTAATAAAAATAAAAAAAATTAAAATTATTATTATAATATTAAAAAAAAGTTGTTTATTAGATTCAGGTTATCAAAGTTGTTTTTTTTACTATTTACGTCATCGTTATCCCAAACATCAACCTGCAGTGTCAGTCCCTTGGCCAACAATTTTGTCACCTCTTTGAAACACCGAACTACCAAATATTTCTCTAACAAATCCTCTGTCTTTGCAAAAGGGTCACTTTCCCTCAAGGCATGTATAAAATTGATCTAATGTCACATACTCACATATCCAACCCACTGGATAAATTGTTCCTATCTTTCTCTTTCTTCCCTTCATGTACCTTCAAGCCAACTAAAACCAGGCTGCTTATTGACATTTATGTCTTTCATCACATTCCTTACATTCCCAACCTCTTCCCAGTCACCTTCAGCAGCATATATATTTGATAGTGTAACAAAGCTACCAGGTCCTTTTAACTTCATTTGCATTATTTCCTCTGCCATCATTTTAGCCAGATCTCTTCTTCCATGGACTTTGCACCCATGTAGGAAAGCTCCAGCCATCGACTCTGTGACTTGTATTGGCAAGGCTTTGAAAAAATCATATGCTTCCACCGTCCTTCCGGAGCGGCACAAGAGATCAACCACACAAGCATAATGCTTCATGCTTACCTCAATCCCATAACATTCATTCATTGATGAGAAAATCTCTAAACCTTTCTGCACTGAACCACTATGGCTGCATGCTGAAAGAACACATGTAAAAGTAACTTCATTGGGTTGCAGTCCTTCTTCCTGCATTTTTTTAAACAGCTCCAATGAGGAATCAACCAGGCCACACTTTCCATAACAATCAATCATTGCATTCCACGATGCAACATTCTTACATGGAATACTGTCAAATACATTTTGAGCATCTTTCAAACTTCCACACTTCGAATAAATGTCAATGAGAGCGCTGGCAACGAAAACATTCGCATAAAATCCCTTCCGGCATACAAATCCATGAATCTCTTTTCCCCATTTAATACAACCTTCCGATCCACTTGCAGGAAGAAGTGCAACGACAGTCACTTGATTTGGCTGAATCCCTGAAAGTATCATCTCCCTAAACATCTTAATCGCTTCCCTGACTTGACGATTTTGTACAAACCCAGAAATCAATGCATTCCATGCAACCACATCAGGAACAACACCTTCCGTTTTCATCCTCTCAAAGAAAGCAAAAGCTTTACTGCTATCACTTGACCGAGCATAAGCCGCAAGAATCACATTCCATGTGAAATCATTTGGTTCCAATCCTTCCAACCTCATCCTCTCAAACAACATCAATGCTTGCTCAATTTCCCCCACGTTACAAAACCCACAAATCATTGACGTCCACGAGGCAACATCTCTGTCACGCATTCCATCAAACACCCTGAGCGCATAAGAAATGCCCCCACATTTGCCATACATATCTATGAGAGCATTGGCAATGGAGCCATAATTTTGAAAACCCATTTCACAAACCATGGCATGAACCTGTCTCCCCATATTCACATCCATCACGCCAATACAGGCTTTAAGAACAACGGAAAAGGTGAAATTGTTGCCCATGTGGCCAACCTCACGCATCCAACGAAAGTACAACAATGCATCATCAAAGTGACCATTGTAAGCCAACCCCAAAACCATCCAATTGAATGCAAAAACATTGGGGTGTTCAATTGTTTGAAACAAAAGCCTAGCTGATTTCAGATCACCACAACTAGCGTACATTCCAACAAGCTTTGAATCTAGAGACAAAACGTTCATGTTTGTTCCACTAGTGACTAACGTGGCATGGACCTGCACGCCCGGTCTCAAGGCCTTTGCTTTCACGCATTTTTGAAGGCACAAAGCAAATTCATGGGAAGACCATTTCAATTGTGAAGAAAAAGGCATTTTCATTCTTCCTTGATGTTACTCTCCTCTGCCATGCTAATTCCCTAGCCTTTTAAAACATAGTAACGTTATAATGTTATATTTCAGAGCCTATTGCACAAACATGTTCTGTTTTTTCGAATTACCCTGGTACCTTAGTTTTTAAATTTTTTTACACAAGTATCATGTTTATAAGTACGCTTTTAAGTTTTAAAAACACATTACATGTGCATTCTCTTAAAAGAAGTCAATGTAATGATAAAAAAAAAAACTATAAAGTGTAATTGTAATTTGAAAAAAAAATTCTTATATATTTCAGTGAGACTTAATTAATGTTTTAGAAGTACCTTCAAAAATTAAGATGAGAGTAAGTAATCAATTTTAGGTATTAGAATGACAATAAAAAATAAAGTTAAAGACTAAAATAACAATAAATTATTAAATTCAGGAACTAAAATAATCACAAGTAGATAAGTTCAGAAATTAAAATAAAAACAAGCGTGTCAATGTATGATATCTTTTAATAGTAAGACTAAAGTGAAAGACAGAGAAAATTTTTAATTTTCCGATAATTTGAAAATCGGGTTTGTTTGTTTATTATTTCTAAAAATAGTTCTAAGTTTTTGAAGTTTTTAAAAATTAAAAAAAAACCTTGCATAATTGTTTTGTTAAAACTATTTTTAAAAAACTAAAATTTAAAACTGATAAAATATATTTTAATTTTTTATTAACAGTATTTATAGTTTTATTAATATTTTAAAGTATTTTTTATTAATTTAGGGGTTATAATGAGTCACATTATTGAGCATCAACATTCATAGTTAGTTGAACCTCTCAGGTTTGAGACCTACATGGGACGAATTTAAATTATTTGTTATTCCTGATACGTACACGGGACAAATTTAAATTATTTTTTATTTATTAAATTTTTTATTATGAAAATTTAAAATTTGATTGACTTTCTATGACTTTTTATATGTATTTATATATAACATTTATTTAAAAAAGGAACCTCATCTAATTATATGAAAATTTTCTATTTTCATTCAATTTTTTTCTTAATTTCAACCATCAAAATAGTGGAGACATTTGCTTCAATTTTTTTTTTTACAACAACCTACTTTAATTTTTTTTCTTTACATCAAGCTAATTTAATTTTTTATTGCTTTCTGCAATTATTTTTTGAATACATCCACGTAAATTTATACGATTGTTCAATCTATACAAATAAGACTTTTTTTTTAAATTGAATTTTATTCATGATGTTCTTTGTCCTATTGGATTTTTAGAATCTTTCTTTACACTCATTTATGTCAATGAGTTGTAGCTATTTGAAATGGAAAAATATGTTTTTTCATACTTAGTTTTATGTCATGTGGACCATTAAATAATATGTATACTGATATATATGATTTTAATTGCAAAAAAAGAAGAAGAAGAGGATTTCATGATCATTACTAATTGCAAATGTATACTAACAAATTTACCAAGTTTGTGAAGTTTCTCCTTAATAAATTTGAGTAATATATCGAATTATTTTCATTGACATTCTTTGATGTCACTTAAATTTACACCTATAAACATACACGTTACTTAATTATCCATATGACATAAAACTAATAACTTTTTTAATGACGATGATTAAAAACTTAACAGAATAATTAATAATATATGACAAACATATAATTTTTTTTAATTGAACTAAAGATAAATATTTATCATAGTTATTACATGAACCATATATTTTACCTTATTTGAAATTATATGAAAAAAAATAAACATGACAATTTGACAGAATATTACCAACAGATTTTTATTGGTAAAATAATATATATTACCTACATATGTAAAGTATTATGTAAATTTGACATTACTGCCAGATTTGTCTATTGGTAATTCTATTGGTAAAATAACATGAAATATGAATTGATTTGTGTGAGTAATTAGGTCATTAAAGATTTTTCAACTTACTTGACCACTTAGTACAAGTTACAGAACATAATTTTAGTCAAAATTAGTTTATATTCTTAATTTATATTTGATACAATCAGTGGTGGCAGATCTTTTACCATTGATCATGGAAGGACAAAGTAATATATTATTAATAAATAATAAATAAATATAAAATGAAGTAAGAAGATAAAAGGGTGAAAAGATAAAATTGTAAATATATACTTAAATATATTAAATGATCATTAAGTTTGAGGGGGATAAAATCATAAATTATATAAGAGTTACAAAAGCTGAAGAGGAGATCTGGAAGGATAAAATTATAAATATACAAGTAAATATATTAAATGTTCATTAAATTTTGGGGGTCAAAATCATAAATTACATGAAAATTACAAAACTTTGGAGAGTACGGCCCCCCTCAGCTCCCAAGAAGATCCGCCACTGGATACGAGGATATGTTTCTTTGGTCTAATCGAGGTAATCACTCAAAATTTAAGTTAAAAAGTTGCAAACAACAAAGCTAGATGGAGCAAATAAGGGTAATTAGGTGAATTGATTTATAAGTGAACTAAATTGATTTGAATTGGATTAAAACCAAAACAGGGGTCATTGACTACCAAGGAAAAACACAAAATTAGAAAATTAGTTAGTCTCATTATACATGCCATGCTAAAACTTTGAAAACAAAAATGAAATAAGATAAGTTTGAACATTAAAAGAAGCATAGAACAAAACTTTGTAGTTCATATTTATAGCCTAATGTTGGGAACTTATGTAGTTCCTATTCCTACATCTTTAAATAGGGTGAAATAGTTGAGCATTTGTTGTTTCCAAAGATGAGTTTATTAAATTGCATATTTTTGGAACTAATGAAGATTGATAGAAGTTGTTAATGCAGCTGTTGCATTTGATGAATCTAATTTCCCTTGACGATTAAAGTAGATATGCTTAAAGTATGTGTGTGAAGTAGGTTTAATGTATGTTTCTCCTAAGCGGTTTTATTTCTGATTGATGTTAGAAAACTCGTTGAAAATGATTTTGAAGTTATTTTAATATGTTCAAAGATAGCTTTAATTTATCTAAGATGCATTTTAAATGGATTAAATAATTATTTTAATGGATTAAAATAATTTAAAGTCATGCATTATTCTTAAAGGTTTGTTATAATGTATTTTTAACCTCTTAAGAAGGATTATGTTAAAAATACCAAGAGCATTTGGGATTATGTGACCTCTTCCCAAATGCTCTTGGTAGTTTTGAAGGATTTTGAACCATTCTATTTTTATTTATTATTTTTTTTTAACAAATTAAAATTATGAATTTTAAGAATGGTTTTCAAACCTCATTATGTTTATAGGTTAAATAAGTTTTAATCAATTAAAACTTCTCAATGTTTTTAAAAGGTTTTAAACCACTTTATTTTAATATGTTAAATTGTAGTTATAATAGATTAATTTCACATTTAAGTGAAATTAACATGTTAAAATGCAATTTTATTTCATTATTTTTCTTTCCCTTATTTTTTTATATTATTGTAAAAGTCAATGATTGTTTTTTATGTTTTTTTTTTCTCATTGTCTTTGGAATCTTTCAAATCTTTAATCAATTTATTGATAAAAATTTTCATAAACTAGTAAAATATTTGAAAAAATCTTTTAAAGTTCAATTTATCCCCGCACTCGAACTCAACCATTTATTCTAATACATACAACTTTCAATGTATTTGTATCATATCTCACAAATTGGTTATGATTAAAGGTAGAAATGTAAAAAAATAAAAATAAAAAAAATCCATTGTTTAATGTAAAAGACTCACAATGAGTGAAAATGATCTCCCTCTTATTTAAGAAATGCACTTTGGTTTTGCAATTTGCAGTACTACGTGCATGAGTTATTGTTTGATACTTGCTCTGCTACATGAACTATATTAGATAAACAACTTTGCATTCTTAGATATGACACAAGAATAAAAAAAGGAAAGGAGCACATGGTAGAAAGAGGGTTAATAATTTAAGAGTTTTAGGGGCTCTCTTACTGTTGCAAGTGTTAATTATCAATCATCTAACAAATGGCATTTTTTCCACAATGATACAATGTTCAAAACCTCTTCAATAAATAAAATGTCTTAGAAATTAGAATTAGAATTACGTTATAAAGCTACCACTCATAGAAAAGGTAAAACAAGACAATACTAAAGGAGAAACCGAGTTATAATGAACTTAAACCATAAAAAAAAAAATGGCATCATTAATCTCATATCAACATACAAAAATTAAGTATCATATAAAAATAAATATATTACATATTAATATTACTTATTACATTTAAATTTTAGGATATAAAGTTTATTTCATTTATTTTTTTATTTAAAAAATAATTTTATAATTTTATTTTTAGATATCTTTAAAATTCAAAATTTTCACATTTAATATCAAAATAGAGTATCATAAAATATTAAAATAGTAAACTAATTTATAACAAATAAAAAATTATATAAATATTTCATATTTTTATATTACACTAAACATGCTAATTTGTTATAATAACAAATAAAAATAATAAAAACAAATTGTTTACTATTTTTTTATTCAATATGAATTATCCAATCTCTCGCAAGGAAAGTTTACTAATGCATTGAATGCCTTTGAAAACTTAAGGTTGCCATAGAAACCCTTCTCTCCTCATCTACTTCATGACATTCAAAAAGTTATTACACTTTCATCTCTCAATCTAAATATTTTTTTACATTATATTTTTCATTGAAAGGGGGAGGTCTACCTTAGGTTCTTTGGGATAGTTTTGTTAGCCCTATGATAGTGCCTAGATGGCAATTGATAGTAATTACCATTGTGATGATTATTATATAACCCTTTATATTGAGAGTGATGTTCCTTGATGACTCATATTTTGTATACACTTTTATATTCTTATTGCATATCTTAAGTATATCTTTCTTCTTTATTCATTTTATTTGTAATATATTTGTATTTTTTGTAATAAACGAGTTTTTGTGAATGCATTCTATTTTTTGTATTTTTCTATTGTATTTATATATTTTTTAATAATGACCTTTG